CTCCTCCTTTTCTTGAAGATTTATACTCGAGAGTTGTAGTAACCTCGGTGCATGCAGGTATTAGATTGTAACGAATAATTAGGCCTGTGACTAATTGGAATTAATTTTCAGTTGAGTCAATATGACAAGCAATAGCCCAATAAATGTATCACCTTGCTTCCTTTGAGCCGGATTGGGCGGAGACATGGGGGTTGGTCTCCATCGCATTCGGCGCCAGACTTACCCGTCACGTGCAGACGAAGGAACATTTGTTTTTAGAAATCTGTTGGTTACCATGGTAATGTCATTCCCTCTTTGCCGTTTGGTAACAAACCTGTGGCTTTTCTGAGTGGAGTTTAGCGATAGTCCTGGGACGGTCATAGTCTACATACGCCAGACCTCTTTTGTAGAAGCTGCATGCATCATTCCGTAAACTTTCTTAGGAACCCTCACAGATTAGGGGCGTCTTGTATTCTTAAAGCACTCTTCCTCTATGGAGGCCCCACAAAGTCAATGATTACAATGCATTCTTACAGTATCATTATTTATCACAAGCATGCATGATCGTGGATGAATAGGGGCGAACCCTTAGGGCCTACTCCCCGAACCCTGCTATCTAGGAGGTATACTTTTGTACCAATTTCCGATACAAGTCGAATAGTCTGCCCATATCATTTCATCCGCATGCAACATTTTAAATGCATCTGAAATTCTTCAATATGCTGTTGATAATCCTTTGAGAATTGAAATGTGAATATAAAAAGTTCCATGGATTTCCGTAATCACGATTCAATACTTAAACGATGGCGATGCCGCCAAAATGACACGTTTCGAGGAACTTAATATTAAGGTGAACTTAAACACAACAAGACTGTATACCAGATTTCACAGTGCGGGCCATGCACGTCAAAAGAGATAGATTTATAATGTAATATTCATATTACTCACTCCTATCGATTTACAAATGACTAAAATGGTTATACTCTTGTCACTCTAGGAATCGGCTACTGGTTTATTCTTCTACTCATTTCGAAGCAGAAGTGTCATTTTATGAATAGTAATCATTATCAGCTAAACGCATTTCCTTATCATTTTTTCCACCCTGTAACATTATCCTGCATATTTGTTTGTTCTTGAGTTCACCATAAAGCCTGGTCTATGAGACTAGATTAACCTCCGTTGTAGATCTAGGGGAAACTCCCGAGATCTTCACATGTCAAGGTCACGTGAGGGACGTGTAATGGCGGGTTACCATGGAAACATGTCTGCTTCAAAATCAACTCGCGTAACCGATTTGATCCCCCTTTTCTTTTCTCTTTTTCTAAGAATCTTGTCTAAGTTGACTCTCCTCTCTCACCCTAAGTGACGAAGAATTGAGATGACAAAGTACGAGTATTACACGTATGACTTATTATGAGTAATTATTCGATTTGTGAAATACCGAGGGTTTTTTGCGTGTGGTGAGGAGGAATTTTCTCTAGTCACGGTGTTTGTTTGAAAAGCTACATTATACTATATACTGTTCGTTTGTTTGTTTTATTTAGTCAACCACGGTTCAAACACCTGCTATCAGACATAGTGCTGTTTTTCAGCAATTCCGTAAAAAAACATTCACACAATATACATACACAAAACAACAATAATTCACAATACAAATTAAAATAACAAGAATTCAAATGTGAAAAATAATTGTTGATAACAATCTCACTTATTATTTAAAACATCAGAAATTATGAGGGCAAAAGAAAATACAATTTTAGTCAAATAACAACCTGCATGAAGCCATATTGACTGAGTCAGACTTTAATTGGTAGACCTACATGTCAAACAATTAAGGTACAGTGTAAAAAAAAAATTGTTTTTGTAATTTATTATTCCTTGAACTAACGATTGAAGGATACACGACGGCAGAAAAGATTCCGTACAAAATATGTAGGACAAAGAATGAAATCAAATAATTTTTAGAAAAACATCTCATTTTCAACACGCTTGTTTTTAAAGATCAGCGGGTATCAAATTGATTTTTTGAATGTTAAAATGATTCGCTCTATTATATATAAACCAACCAACCCGTAATATTTTGCAAGGGCATAATGTTCAAGTATATAATTCCAGGCAAACGGTCGTCTATCAATCGATTATACGGTGTATAGATACCAGTTCTAGTGTATAGATACCAGTTGAATTGCAATTTACAAGCATGTAGTCCTGTATACTTGAGGGTACATGGTCATGCTTGGGCGGAGTGATAAACCACAATCTATTTTTAATGTCGACACACCCACCATCCCTATTATGACATGATAAATGCTTGTTATTGCCGGATTTAGAAGTCATTGTAAAAATAGATTACATATTTTATGACTCTTACAGTAAAACCTATGTTATATACCGTTGGATATGACAAGAAATTGATTATACCAAAACATAACCAGGATACAGCCCCTATTTACCGCATGGGCGCGGCGAGTATAATAATTCATAAGGAGTCACTTTAAATTTTACAAATGACCGGAAGCTTCCTGGTTTGATATTATTTTTCGTCCACATAGTATCTGATACAAAATAATATCTTTTCAAATCGAAAGTCAGACAAGATGCGTATCGTACGGATTTTGATTTTTAAAATATTCTTCATATAAATCGGTTTGATTATCTGAAAGAATGATCGCTTATTTTGTTTTGAGAAATACCAAGATTTATACATGCTATAACGTCACCATATCATGTGGAAAAAGTTACCACTGGATATGTGCCTATAGTCTCTTCAAATTCAGTCTAGTTTCGGTTTCAGTTCATTGATTCATATTTCATTTATATTTCACAGAGACAAAACAGAGACAAAACAAAACCAGAAAGTGAGTATCTCATATCAATAGCAACTGTGAATAATAATGATCAAACATTTCATTATTTTTAAGGAGTTAAACCTGATCAGGACTATGCAAGGAGTAGGCCTACAGAAATACCTGCCTCTAAACGATAACAACAATAATTTTATACACATCAACCTTTTCGGAGAAAACAACAACATCCATGGAAAACAAACTATACGAAAACAGGAAGAGGGAAAAAGAGAGAGAAGAGAGAGAGAGAGAGAGAGAGAGAGAGAGAGAGAGAAAGAGAGAGAGAGGGAGAGAGAAGCGAAAACATAACCATTATTGCTATAGAGAAGAGGTGGGAAAAGAAGATAAAGAAAAGAAAAAAATCGTTTCCTATTGGTATTTATTCAGTATTCAGTTTATATAAATAAAAAACAGGCTAAGTGTTCTTTGCAGCATCAGAAAGTCTGTTTATTCTTTCTTTCGTTTTTTTTTTTGGTGTTGTTTTGATTCGCGTTGACGATTAAATATTAAGAGTTGAGAAGAATTTTTATGAAGAATGATCAGAAAGAAGAAGAATGAAAGATCGAAGAAGAAGAGATGAAGAAGAAGACGAAGATGAAATAAAGGGATTGCATGGATGACATAGTATTAAAAACCCTGCTCTATATCAGAAAACAGCGGTACATGCGAATATTTTGTTTTCTTGAAGTTGAGGATCTCTTCTGTATGATATTAGCATAAAAATGTGGGTAAAATATTGGATTACTAACTAAACATAAGCTGCCATCAACGAAAGAGAAGTTACTATATACGCACCCTTATGCCTCATATACCATATTGAGTTTGTTAAAGCTAAAGACTAGTTATAGTCATGCGATTGCATTGTGAAAGAAACGTTGTGGAATCGCTCAGAAAAGGTTGATCATCTAGCATATAAGTATTGGTGTGTACTGCAAGGTTATGGAATCATCAAAATGATAAGAAATTTGGCCCAGTCTTCGTAAAGTTACAAGCACTGTACACAGAAAGATTTATATGGGACTACGCAAACGTGCGCGACACGTGCGTTTATCTCTCACATACCAATAGATAAACTAATTTACCAAATATATGAATAAGTAGGCGGTTTCCCGGCAATTTTTTTATCATCATGTATTAGTCAAAACATATTATTTCACATGATTGGTAATAAGAGCTTCCATTTCATTTTTTGAAATTGAGGCGTTTCCAATACTAGTCTTTACCTTTAAGTGTTATTTATAGTTTTATTAAGGCTTGTATACAGGGCACATATTGTACCAGTAATATTATCCTGACCACTCGCCTAGACGGACATACATGTTCATGTAACCATCCACGCTTACAAGAAGTTGTACTTTGACATAGTAAATTTGACCTTATTAAATAATTGTACTCGTCTTAATCAATACTATATTGTTTTCTCTCTTTGTGGAACCGGTGTACTCCCAATGACTTAAACAAAAACAGAAAAGGACAAAATATAAATCGAGTAAATATATCACACGAAACTGTTAATTTGCACGCAAATCAAACAAAGAACATTGTTCGAAAATTATATTGACATAATAAAGTACATAATGATAACTAAAGGCCTCAAGAGCGCAAATGAGTGGAGATTGAGAAATTAAGTCTCCATAGTTTGGAAAATATATATTTAGGCCTAAATGGTTAGGTGAATTCATGAATCTACCTCGGACATTTTGTATGTCTTTGTTTTGTGATCTTCTGCCATTCGGTGGATATCAAAACCATTGGTTGATGTCAAAACTCAATCCATAGAAATGGATGCCAAGTATTGTTCCACCGTTTAAAGCACAGGTATTTCTGGGCCAGAGTAACCCACAGGGAGTTTGGATCACATGCCTTCACAAAGGCTTTTTAAAACAAAAACTGAACAAAACTCAGGGCGAACACAAAGGAACAAAAAGACGGTGACATCCAACAGAAATCGAGATCTTTTATTCTGGCCTGGTCATTTGCCTAATCTTTACGTGGTAACACGCTGTGATTGGGCAACTCATTTCTTTCTTGTTGTGCGACGCTCCGCCTACTCGCGTGCCGTAGATTGATCGCCTGTGTCATGATTGTGTGTGTGTGTTTTGTGGTTGTCTTATAATACATGTACTACACTGAGCCGCGCGTGCCAGCCTTTGTACGCGACGAATACACGGCCTTATCGAGTAATTAGACATACATTTAGTTATTCTACATTCATAGCTCGATCAGGCATCAAGTTCGGTCGCCTGTGCACAACTCTCTTCATTTATATATTTCTGACGCACATCCACAAGTAGTATATCACTATCAGTTTGCCGACACTTGGTTTCTACTAAGCCTCCTGGATTTATTGCAAATCACCATTTATCCTGATCACGATGCAACCTAAGGAACATATAGCACTGATAATGGAACAACTACAGAAGACCCTTTTACTGAGGGCAAAACACTGGTAAGTTATTTGTCATTATTTCCACATTATAAATAACTTATAATCATGTTGTCTACTCATCTTTGCTAATTATAGAGTTATTTCAGATCTACAATTTTTATTCGTGTTTTTATAATACTTGTTTGTGATCTTATGCTGCTTTGTAAATCAAATAACCTATGTTCGCTAATTACTTTTGTAATTATATTCAAAAGCTATCATATTGTGTTCATATTTAATGTATGTTTTAGCTGATCGTTGAAATTTGCATGAGCCTGGTCATATTATTACAAATATGTTAGCTCTACACAATAATTCTATATTTTGTCAGAGTATATTTGATCTAGATCTAGTTTGCGATATGTAACGAACGATAGAGCAGGGAGGTGAGATTGGGTAGAGCAAGAACGAAGCTGGGTTTGGGCATGTGGTTTGAAGGCCATAGAGCACCGACCATGGGTGACCGTAGGCCAAACTATGGCCCCTCGAATCATCAGCTGCTGGAAGGCACACTTTGGGTGTGAGTGCGAGGTCCGGCCATGGCGAGGGTCAATTCAGCATTGTCTGTCGCGCATAATACTTGACCATTGCCAGCATAATCTAGCTCAAGGGCGGTTTGGGTTGCATGGCCGGGCCTGGATACTCCTCCGATCGAAACCGCTTTGTATTTCAATATTATCTCTGTTAGTTTTACTTAAAACTGCACAAGAAATGAAATTGCGTAGATATAAATCATGCATAATGGTTTTATTTTCCATAACTAACTTTGCGTGGAATGAGGCGATAAGCAGGGCATGTGAGTTAAAGTCTCACCTCCCTGGGTTAAGTATACGTGCCAGCAAGCATGTGAATGAAGTTATTTAAACATGAAATGTGGTAATAGCTCAAATGTAATTATATCCGATAAATCAACCCCAAATTATTATCTCGTTGAGTCTCAAAAGTTTGCATGATTAAACCCAAATATATATTTCTATACATTCATGTAAAATGAAGCCGTATAATATAAGCGAGGGAAGAACGTAATTTGATAAAATTTAATTTATGAACTGTACATTAATCATGATCTAAGGAGACACGAACGAGCGAGCTTATATTATACGTCTTCATTTTACTTGTAAGGTATAGATGCCCATATAAGTATGAAGAGTATTTGTGCTTGTGGGACAGACCTCGTGCAAGCTGGTGGTAATGCAAGAGAAAGAGGTTTGCAAGGGGAATGATATGCGGCATGAGATTGGGTGCATTGGGATTGGGAGTGAAGACAGACAACTCAAACCTCGTATTTTTATAGTTTCCCATAACCGGGTCAAATCTACTCAAATTTCACCCAATTAGAATAACGACCCTGCTTGATTGTTAGCTTGAATTTGACCTACAAAGAGAAGGGAGGGGGGGGGGGGGGGACAGAGAGAGCTAGAGAGATTATAGACAGGGGAGGGGGGGGGGGGAGAGAGAGAGGGGGGAGGGGAAGGGTGAACACAAGAATTAAGAAGATATGCATAATGGGTCTGAATGTTTTAAGACATGTAGCGACATCGAGGTGCCTCGAAGTTAAGTGGGTGAGGGGGCGTCTACATGCAGGAACTAACAAAAAAAGATTCCCCAATTTGTTTTTCCTTAGTCGATATTAATATGCAGTATTGAGTGATATCGAGACACACTCTTACGCCCCCATCATACCCGCCCGCATCTTGAGTTTCGATATCATCTTGCATGCATTCCCGGGCATTTAAATGACAGCCTCATTAAAGTGTTGAATGTACTTTTGCTGATGTGGAATATTCATTTGAGTCCTTATTTCCCCCATCCCAGGTCAGTGATATTTCATTCCAAAAAGAGATCAAAATCCTCACTTTCTTGTGAATCCCTCAATAATCATAACATGTAAATTTATTCAAACTGACTTATTATATTATACAACTGAAAGATAATTATCATAGCGCTATTTATCAAATAAGCTCATTAAAAGGCTGCATATTTATTAATTAGATAGAATCACTACAACATTCATAAGAGAGAAAAAGGCGATGGGAAAGGAAGGGGTAGAGAGAGGAGAGAGAGAGAAAGAGAGAGAAAGAGAGACAGATTATGAGAAGACAATCATGATTTTGCCTAGAGCAAGATATCAATTAGTGTACTTACTCTCTTAATTTCTCTTAATGTACCAGGGTAGCGTCATGTAATAGTCGATACCGACTATTACATGACGCTACCCTGGTACATGCATCAAGCACTGTACTTAAGGCATTCACCAAGTCGCTGGATTCACTTAATAACATTACACAAATTCATGCATTCATTTAGCTCACTATCATCTTTCATTATGTCTTACATAATTATGATATTACTCTCTTACAGTAATTAGAGATACAATGTATGTATAATCTTTTTAATTAATAAGCTTACAATTTCCATCATTCAAATTACATGTCAGTTTCTTGTATAAGTCTAGCTGTAATATATAGCCAGAGTGAATAGACAATACCTGGCACAAACTCCAAGAATAGCGTACATTATTGATGGGTTACAGATTGGTTGCTATGTAAACATAGCCTTTAATAATTTTATGACCATTGTATACAATTTGATTCCTATCTCCTCGTCAAAATTATTGCACCCCTCCACCGCCAATGAATTTTAAAAATGCATGTATATTGTCCTCATCCTGCTCAGTCTTCAGATTTCTCGTTCATAATTATTATGAGGAATGGTCATAAAGAATTGGAGAAGGTCATAACTTTGTAATTTTAAATAAAACTTTTTTTTTCTTCGTTCGTTTTAATTGATTAATGATTCTTTAAGTATTTCCTTACATGGGAAGTAATGGCCTGATACTCGGACATTATGCTATTTGTATTGTATTGTATTGGATTATTGAGATTTAAAAAAAAATCGAACATGCAGCCGTGTAAGAGCTGAAATGGTTCAATAGTTTAACATAAAAGTACAATGATAATGCATTCATAGATATTTAAAACTGAAAAAGTAATTTAAACTGTCACCTAGATTTACTTTCATTTGTTATAATTTTTAAGAAAATTAAATGTCCACCCCTTTAACCTCTTATGTTTTTTGAATTGTTGGTTACTCGGCGTGTATCGCTCGCCTTGCTTGGTTTGGCTTCGTACCAATCATATGCCCTCATGGTTAACGAAACTCTAACCACAGGGAGTCTGCAAATGGGGCAAAACACAAGGGTAAAATGGGGTTTGGATATTTTGGGGTACACTGGTAATGGAAGCTAGGGTAAAAAAAAGGGGGGGGGGTAGAGACAGATATGTAGTAAATAGTTTCATTACCTTATATTTCGTATCCGTTCTATTCCGATTCGAACTTTTGAGAGGATGTTTGCTATAATCATCTATTAGATTGAATTAAACAGCACTAACAGGTCTGAAATGAAGTAGACCTACATTTCGTGCGATGAAAACGAAATTATATTTTTCTATTGGAGGGGGAGGAGCGTAGTCTGCAGAATCAAAACCCTTTATTATTAGGTCTCAATTATGTCTCTTTTAATCATATCTTGTATCATTTACATGAATAAAATATTGAGTATCTATCTTTATTGAAAAACATAATATTCACTATTTCCCTTGTCCCCGTATTAACCCCATCGATTGCTGTTGATTGTAGGTCACTCCTAATACGACCAGATTTGCGGAGGGGCGATGATTGTGACAGCCGCACTAACACGTAACCATGACAACGCACTGTAAAATCTCTTAAGCAGACGAAATCCTTTCCTTAATTTTACCTCGTAATCGCACAATCTCGTCTTTAAGAGATATGTAACTTCTGTTACTTGAAGAATCTGAAACTAAAATGATTTCACATATCATGAGAAATCCATTCGATATATGGACTGGGTGTGGTTGTAGTAAGAGGTTGCATGTTTGGTATCTGAAGTCTAATTTTGACCGAGGCACGCGTCTAACTCTACACGTGTCACTGCAACGAAAACATACACGAAATAATTTACAGTGAGCATTTGTTTCGTCTGGCTACCATTAGAAAAATGGGGAATCCGAGGTGCACTAGCTAGGTTCATGTATATTGCATGTCCAATTATAGCACAGATGGATTAGATCCTCATCTTAATATGGAAAACAATTTGGACCGGTGTCTATTTATAGAAACTATAATACATTGCGTCGCAGAAATCTGGAACGATATAGAACGAGGCAGATTATGGAACTGCTTATTATCGGTTACGATTCTATAATGTAATATGGTAATTCCCTTTATATCAGCTGATCAGCAGCTGATTCTGAGAGACAGATAATCATACAAACCAATTTCTTCTTTTCTAAGTGCGCTTATCACGTGTTTTGAAACATTGCTTGCACGTGTTCTAAAGAATAATTCATTGACTGGAGATTATATACACATGCATAATATATGTATATATATATATATATATATATATACTTTCGAAGTGGAATTCGTTTTGAGGTTGTCAAATGACTGGAACTATTGTCGATCTTGTGACGGGTCTGATATATCACCTGGTAATCACACTATCACCTGATGATCACACTATCACGTGGCTATAATCTCCCCGACTGTAAACAAAAATATATCGTACGAGAGTAAATGAAAAGTTATAAACAGATAGTCTGTCATATTTTCCCCCAATTACATGGAAAATGTATCAAAGCAAATATATTCTGAGTTTTCCTTTCGAATCAACAACTTGTTTATCTCAAAGTGTGTGGGCGGTCATGTTCCCCCCTTTGTCTAATGTACAGTCAGGCCTATATTATATTGAAATAGAATGATCGTCATTGTTGATATGAATCCCCTTGTTGATGGTATTATTTCTAATTGGTATTCTTTTGTATCTCTTGTTGTTTATCAGTTTTAGTAGACACTCATTCACTTATTAATATAGAAAATAAGACTGTTAAACATTCATTACGAGATTTAAAGGTATTTATCAATAATGTTAATGGTTATTGTTTTATCTTTACAGCTATACACGGCAGCTTGTGTCTCCTGCTAAACGCTGTGATTTCTGCAAGAAGTCCATGTTCGTCATGACTCTACGCTGTAAAGATTGCAGGTACGAAAACGCTAAATTGTTAGTGTCCACATATCACGAATAAACTATTATGCTATTCATAGCAACAGATATGGAAGAGGAAATATGTGTATAAATTATACAGTATATTGTTCACTAGTTCAAACTGCTGTTTTTCCTTCTCCTCTTTTCCTCGTCTCCTTATCATTAGGCCAACATTTCTTTACTTTTACGTTATTAAAATCTGTCAGTCATGAATCTAAGTATCGATCAAGGAACAAACAAAAACGCCCGCGTGAATGTGAATCTTGAATATCAATCAGCGGTCATGATAACCCGGATTTACTGGTTATTGATTACATCGCCCACTCAGAGAAACGTGCACTTAGGACTAACTTCGTACTTTTGAAATGTGTATTAAACAATATAGATGTTATGAAACTACTCTGTTTTTGGTGTTATGTGCAATGAACTGAAAGTTGGCATAATATTTGCCACCCCTGGCTAAAATGGCATCTTTCTGGATCACACGTAACCCTTGCTCTGAGCGGTAGTAAAGCTTCAAAACACAACCCATGCCAAAGACCTCGTTATATCCTCCACGTATCATAAAGTGTTTATTTAAACTACCTCGTGCCAAATGTAGGCTAAATGCCTGGAAAGTGACATGAGCTTGTCATTTCTACATCTCTTTCTCTTGTCGTATTGGTCTTTGTGTGTAGAGGGTGATAAGGTCATTATAAACTATTAAACAATGGCACACATGGGAGTCCATAATATATGGCTACAGTCCTGTCATCAATTTTTGCATAGATCTGGGAATTGTTTTGAAAGCTGTTGAATCCAAGAATATGCATCCTACATTTTACTTCAAAAATATCTATCAATAATTGATTCCAGTGTCTAACTCTTCATTTTTTCTTGTTTTCCTTTTCAGAGTAAGATGTCACCGCCGCTGTGCACAACAAGCAGCTAATCTCTGCGAACTCGCCGCCAAACACAATTTGACAACAGGTACCCACAATCGAAACCTCTATTCTAGCGTTCACTTTATAACAGATTAACTTACAATCAAATCTTATTTGTTATGAATAAGGAGAGCTAGTGTATTTTAAAGTTAATTTTTTACTCTTGCCGAGCCTTAATTTCACTTTCCCAGCCCCTCTCTTCACTTTATCCATTTTGTTATTACTCAATGTCTCTACCTTTGTAATTTCCCTGTTCCACTCTTCTGTTCGTTCTTACCACTCTCCACTCTCACACTCTATACCTGAGAGTGCATGGTAATACCGGACACGGATTTCTAAAGATATTACTTCTTGCATTTCCCCAGGTCCGTAATCTTATCCTGCACATCGTACTACATAATTATTAGCACACTGATTCATTCGATGAATAGGGGAATTATCAGCAAAGATATGAGCCCCAAGGAAATTTCAGACGGAGAGATTTCCAAAAGTAATTTTACACAATGCAACAAAACAATTTTATGCATTGAAACTTAGCCAAATTGGCAACTGCACCATAGCGTGCCTAAATGCGCCATAATTTTGATGTTCCGAATAAAACTTTTACAAATATTTAATTGTCGTTTGATTTGGTGCATACACGCATACGTTTAAAGAAAAAAAAACTTTTCTCCCACGCGCCCTCATTACGCCCCATCGCCCACCCCACTGTTATTCTACCACCTATATTAGAAGTAGTTTTTTGGTCTTTTAAATTCACCAGGGTGAAATAAAAACTGTTGGAATAATAATAATTGTTGGAATTGAATGATAGAAATCAAATAGAAGGAAATCGTGGGCGTTAAACATGGTCAAAAGATGTCTTTAATTTCTTTCAATTATTTCATGAAGGATGATCGTTGTTTATTTGCCTAGATCCTCTTCTCGTGTAACCGATATCTTTTTTCCTTCTCAAATAATCCTAGTTATTGCTTCAATTGCACTTATTGAAATGGTACTTATTTCATCTATATAGGGAGTTTTGAAACATTATATTTTCATTATTTTTTTTTGTCTTCTTGATGTTTTATCATGATGCAGGTCCAGAGAGTAGAAATGTCGTGCCTACATGTCATGCTGCACTAGCCGAGGCGTCTAGAAGACATCAATCAGCCAACTCCACCCCAGTACCGACCCACCGCAGGAAGAGTTCGACCGAATCCTTCAGAGAGATCGAGACTCACCAGTCCACCTTCAGCGTCAGACGTTCCACCACCCGTCAACGCCTCAGCACCACCACTGTCCCCAAAGACCACTCCCTTGGGCGTGTCTCCAGGTCGACCCTCTCATCACAGTCCTCCAACCGATCATCAGTATCCGGGTACTACTCTCAAGAATCCGATGCAAGCCTTCTATCCGAATGCGACACACCCAAAGAGATCAGCGTCTTTGATAGTTTCGGACCCGGTGACGTCACTTCGCCGATTCCTTCCTCCTCTCGTTCGCGAAGACACGAGGCGTGGGCGGCGACGAAGCCGGCGCCTACATCGACCTATATGGACTGTCCGGCTCATGGAAACTGCGAGTCTGGTGCTGAGACCAACCTGATGATGTCTCTGGATGGAGGATCACTTGTTGCAACTTGGCCTCAAGACCGGAAGTGCAACTGCTGTCCCCACATTCCAGGTAGGAAAAAAAGAAGTTAATTTGTAATGTTCACAAAAGGTTACACCTATATTATGAACCTTGATAATATGATTAAATACATTGAAACTGCTTGCTCTATTTCTTACATAATTCCCTGAAAAACACGTGCCGCTTTCACCTCCTTGAATATAATGCATGTCATAATTCTATCATGCATCTCAATAAAATATTCGAGATGAAACGGTCAAAGATTCAAAATATAACCGACCATGCAACGTGACAAGTGCGACACGCGGTACGCCGTGTCATTTTATGACGTCACAATGGTTTCACACTTTGCTATCACCTTGCATCTCTGTTCACGCCTCATTATTAAAGCGATGTTGATCAATTCAATTTCCAATTGGATTGTTATGTGCTTAGACTCCAACTCATTTTATTGCTGTGATTGAATACGAACAAGTACTTCCAAACGCTCTAATTAAAATGAAGTTCAAGCAATAAAGAACGTTCATTTATTTATGGCATTGTGGTCCAGGTTCGATTTAAAACAACAACTATAAATCCACGTTTCATGATATTTATAATTTTTATGACATCTGACAAATCACTAATAATAATAAAAAACAAGTTCGTTGAGCAGAATGCTCAAATATGCTACGAAGTTTGATCATTATAACTCTCTTATATATTCATTCTTTAAGCATTCCCGTTAGTATAAAGATAACAATTATTGTTTTTATATTTTTCTGGCGCAGAAAACAACTGCAACTCCAATGATCAGATGGTATCAGATTGGACAGAAGAATATCGACGATCTTCCTTGCATTACGAAGCACAGAAAGAAGGGCTCAGTGAATGGACTATACCTCATGCTAATCTTAAGTATGGAAGATGCATAGAGAAAGGCAAACTCGGCAGCACATACAAGTAAGTTAAATAAGACACGAAGCAAAGTATCATAGATATTGTTTTGATCAATCGAAAGGAGAATTTAATCAAATAGTATACGAAAACTAATAAAATCGAAACGAAAATGGCTATGTCATTTTAGCAAAGAAGAAAATGATGTTTCTTAATTTCTGACTGTTACAAAACTTGGAATACAATTACAAATTACGATTGTGAGCAAATTTTTTAAGCTAAGAAGCAACTACATGATGCAAAATTGTTTCGACTCAAAATTCTAAAGTGAGTCACAGCCTGAATTCATCAGATAACATAGAAAGATTTATCAATTTCTCTCATTTGTAATCGGTTTATCGGGATGAGTAATGCTAGTGATTTCATCACCATAAAATAATTTCCCCACTCTAGTTACATCCTCGTCAACATAATATTCAATACAATAATAAAGAGTTGATTCATTTGGTTTGGGGGATTAAAAATAAAAGTCTATTAATATCTTTCTTTTTCATTCCTAGGGGTCACTGGCACGGTGAAGTCCTCATCCAGACCAGGTATTCCAAGTCGACCGACATCAATGATTTCCTGGACGAGGTCGCTATGCTGAGTAAGATACGCCATGAGAACATTGCTCTATTCATGGGAGCGTGCGTCGAACCAGGCAACCTAGCCGTCGTCAACAGGTAAATTAGACAACTTTATCTTGTTTTTTAAACATTTCTCTTCTAAATTCTAAAAATGTCTTTCTTTTATTGCCTTCCATAATCAATGGGATCTTAGCATTTCACTCCGATGAAGGATTTCGAATATTAGATATACAGATTTACAAAAAGTCAAAAATATAAGATAAAATCAAGACAATAACAGTTGCAGAAAAATTGCTGACATGCAGAATCACGTCTCTCTCGATAAAATATTACAACTAAAAGTAAAAATCCTTTCCTCACTTTGTGTTAATATTAAAATATGATCATAATATTGCAATATAAATTTAAATTTATTCTTTTGTCATGGTTGCTTTAATTATATTTGTTTCTTTTGAATCTCTAATGCAGTATCCACAAAGGTCCATCACTCTATCACCACCTTCACGTCCACCGTAGGAAGCTCCAGACTTCTTCCAAGATGGACATTGCTCGTCAGATAGGTCAAGCTATGGGTTACCTCCAAGCTAAGGGCATCATCGTAGGTCATCTCTCTTCGAGATGCGTCTATCTCGAGTCAAAGGTCAAGCTATCGGTCACCAGGGTCGATACCAGTGACGTCACATGCCAAAGGTGAGTGTCCAGCGAAAGAATAACATTTAGTTACCTTCAGGTTTTAGTTTGTAACATAAACTTTGTGTATGATTCTCTTTGCAACAATAATTATTGAGGGTCAGGAACATTTTCTTTTCTAAAAAAGAACAATCCTGGGACTAATCTTTCAATGGCTGTGTCTCACGTGATAATGCCACACAATAATTGATATAGTTAGAGTAATGATTCTCTCACTGTAGGGAAAGTTGGAAAAACCAAGACATTATTAGCAATATGTCGCAATAAACAAGCACTTATCAAGTACGTGTGGAATATAAAGTATCATTTGCACCAAATCCTGAAACTTATATCCAATCGAACACATAATAATTACCCATCATATCATTTTTCATGAAGCCTGGATTTATTCCGATCCATCTCTCACCATGCTATTTCAGAGAAAGCGGGGAATCCCCCTATTGACCGCATGACATTGCGTCATCCGCTCTCGGGTTTCTTCTGCCATGGTTATTATTATAATGTAACATTGTGCGTGCGGCATGAATGGCATTCGAAACTACTCGACTATGAGAGATATTATATATCCATTACACACGCCCTTGAACATTGATCGCCGACTCTAGAGATTTAGTATGGTTTTATCATGGTCAATCATAAACTGATTGTGTAAAGAATGTTTCTCTTATATCCATGGCAACTTGAATTCAATCATGCTCGAAATATGTTATTATGGGCTGTACTGTTTATTTAGGAGAATTTTATAACAGTGGGAAAAATAATGAGATGATCAAACTCATTTGTAAATAATTATTGACTTCCTTTCTTTGACAGGGCCAGCCACGCGTGTCTTCCTAGAGGAAAGCTTCAGTACCTTGCCCCCGAACTCCTGGCGAAAGCCCGCGTTGTTCCACCCGAATTTATTACTGGCAACGAACAGACACATAGCACCGATGTGTATGCTTTTGGGTAAGTGTGATAATAACAAGTTAGATAATGCTGATAATTATGATTAAGTAATAAAATTGGGAACAAAACATAAATAAGAAAATACACAACATATACACGACTTATATCTACTCCTAATTAAAAAGATTGGATATAAACCCGTGGATAAAAATTATTGACCCTTTGGTTTCAACAGTACAGAATTTCGTAGAAACGACAAAATATATCATTTCGTATTTTGTAAAGTAAATAACCAAATATCAACTTCCTCCTGATCTTTACAGAACTATCCTCTTTGAGATCATTGCTGGACGGTGGCCTCTGCAGTACGCATGCTCAGAAAGCGTTATCTACCAGACTTGTTCGGGGAGACGAGATGACTTTAGAAATGTCACGTGTTCTTCAACTATGAAGGTAAGAAGAAACAACAACCAGATTGTTTTACACATAAAATGAAGAAAAGGGTTTGATAAACCTTTTCGTTGACCACAATGATTCACAGCGAGTATGAGTTTTGACTGTCATACACGATGTATTGATCAAAGTATAGAAGTACAACTGAACTTACATGATGAAAATACTTTTGTAATCTGTTTATATAATCCTACAAAGATGGTACTACTTTTCTCAAAATGACAGAAAGAGCAATTTCTTCTTTGTGCGAATATCGTATGAGATAAACAGCATATGTCGCCTGCTTCTTCATTGTAATTATATTGTACTATAATTGGCAGCAAATTTTGTATACAAAATAATCATCCTGATAATCTATTTTCTATTTTTTACAGAACCTAATTCAAGAATGTTGGTCACAAAACCCCAATGAGAGGCCGTCCTTTCAGGATATTGTCAAAGAACTCAAGAAAAACGTGAGTAGAAAACAAATTCTTGTTATAATCACTTATAAGATTCATCATCACAGATATACAGTAGGTTTGCGGGTGCACCATGTGTGTGGGAGAGAGAGTGGTTTGAGGAGTCCTAAAAAGGATTAACGAGTCAGAGTCCTTTTTAGGACTTCTTAAACCTCTCACACACACACATGGTGCACCCGCAAACCTACTGTATATCTACATCACCATGCAAGCCGACACTTACAAGCAGCTTCATCACAGATGTAACTCTGCCGTGAGAATTTATTACGAAATTAGGACAGATTTCCTCAATAACAAGCAATGTTGTAAAAAAGGGGAAAAAAATCATACATAATTTCACCCTTCGATTGACCTTTTTTGTAAGGACAAGGCTGTTCTTGCGATATAACCGGTTCATCTGAAATCGCACGTACATTCTATACTCGTGGGAATTTTATATATTTACGAACCTTTTTCACATCCTTCATTTTCATGGATGAACACGACACTTTCAACTTGACCCAAATTTACAAATAATCAGGGTGAAATAGTTTATGGCTATTATTGATTCTTAAGTGTTAAATGCTCAAGCTGTGACACCACAACAGCGAATTACTAATTTGTTTTCGTTTTTCTGTTTTTCTTCCCACTCTTTCTCACACCTTTGATCGATCAGGTTTCCCTTGGCAACATGAAGCACAGTCTCTCAGAGCCGGATAATCTCAATCGACTCGGAACCGGTCTTTTTCGATGAGCAACGGTTCTATGCAAATGAAGAATGGGCGGTGGTGGCTGAAACCGTATAAACCTTATCCAATCTCAAAATACCCGTCCGTTCGAACAAACCGTGTGGACCAAATCTACTTCATGCCAGCTATAGGGTAACGTTAAATACGGATGGATAACACATTATAATCGCATACAAAATTGGCAGAACTCTTGTTGGAGATCAACCCATCTTGAACATAAGTATGAGAGAGCCAACTGGGTAAAATGATAGATCCTTCGTAAGCTCATCAAATGCGGATCCCCGCGGATCGCTCACGTGACATCAACGCATTTAATACACCGGATTACCCGATTTATATCTCTTCAGCAGTGTCTTAACGTTGATATCTGCAAAGATATATACCTTCATATAGCATACCTAAACCATGATGTGTATTCGATCACCTCAACAGTACTTAAACAAAACAGCTGTATATTTCAGAAATGATATTAGAAGATCGTGACTGTATGAATCTGGAGCTTCCAATTTCCAAGAAAAGCAAAACTTTTTATGCTTTAATTTTTTTATATAAAGGAGATAATGTTGAGTGCAATATTTTTATGAACATGTGCACTAAATTGTTAGATTCGATGATACTGTGTCTGAATAATATTATTGAAACCGCATGTTACACAATATTATGTACCAGTTCGTTTGTGCAATTAATTTATTTTATTTTCGCTTTTGATATCTAACCTGTAAGTTTGATATTTTACTTTGAAAATAAGATGTCTAGTGTACATCCATCATGCAATATATTTCGGGTGATATTACTACAAAGCATGCATTTAATGATATTTACTGAATTGAATGAAAATATGAATATTCAAGAGTGCAATACCAGAAATTTGAGAAAGTATATCGAATGTAAAAGGTTCTTTCATGACTATGTGTGTGATAAGCTGGAAAGGTTATTGAATTTGAATTGAAAATTATATACTTTTAAAGTAAAAGAAGAAATTCTTGAAAATAGAACTCTTGTAATACGCTTATTGAAAAGCAACACTATAACAATATTTAGTAAATCATTCATTTAAATGCATGTTTTAAAAACATTTTAAGTATCTGATTTGATTTTAATGAACAATATTCAATTGTTGATTTTTGTGTTTGTGAATCTTTCAGTTCGTTATGTTTTTTAACGTTAATTGTTATCGTTTATTTTTCAAATCTGGTCGAAGTATAAATTTGAACTTGATAAAATCTCCACTCTGTGAGTGGCTGTATTCATCGCTAAGTCTTATACTTAATTCGTGTTAGAGGTATACTAACGTTCACAGTGGATGCTACAAACGCATAAAGCATGTAAAGCAACGTGAACGATACGTAGGCTTGACGTGGCATTCATTGCTTCATTCACCAGGCACTCCTTGAATCATAACAATATTTAGAGTCACTTAAATACCATGACTGCATACAATTACTTATCACATTATTACGTTTTGTTTCCAATTACTCTGATTTTGAATTCTTGACCGTGATATTTGATTTAAGGCGACAATATATACTCTTCATTAATTCAAAAGGAATTAAGGTCACAATGTAGAATTAAGGCAAAACCAAACTGTCTATAAAGGCATCCCAAGCAAAATAGAACAAATTTAATGGCTACGGTAGACAGATGGCCATTATAGACAGGTTCTATAACACTATACATAATATAATTCTTCTCTTGAAGGTTGACAAAACAGGTTATGACCAAAGACAGGTGGCCTTTAAAAAAAGATTGCAGGTTAGACTGTACATTTAAGCCTTTAAAGACTTTATGCTGGAGTCATGTAGCTCCATCTTGATGTTCTGCCTTTGACGTTGCTTTGCAGCTGGTAAAGCCATCAGTATGTCTTAACGTCAACCAAATCAAAGAGTGTATCGAAACGCGACAATGAACTCAATATCCCAAGGTTTTTGATAAAAACAAAAACGCGCCCCTCTAAAACATTCTTTCATAGTGAAATTTGATCATAGAGCAACACATTTTGATTCACTTGTTCCAAGATTTTAGTTGGAAACAATCAGCAGAGTACTTGAAATTAATTCTTTAATCTAGGTTAACAATCAGATTTGATATCCAGGCGAGGTTATGAAGGGCTTTAATGCCATGGAGAACCGTCGTATCTTGTGCCAGATCCCAGCTTTATTTTTACACACAAACACGCACACTCGACGGCTTACAAATGCACATACATTTCCCCCACTCATTTTTAGGAATTTTGGAAGATAATCGCTTATGATATGGATTGACCTATATTCCTAGGGGCGTGACGGATCAAGTCAATCCCAGATGTGACACCTAAATATCATGTAATGCCGTGTTTTTCACTCAGATCGACTCTAAGCTATATCTTTATATTCAGTATATTTGTATATAGCATGAAGATCGTGTCAAGCAAATAACCTGGATATACAATTTTTTTATTTTTTAAAGAATTGTATTTGAATGGATATTAAAGTAATCATTATACATCATGATGTCTTACATTCAAGATTAGTTCATAAGATGTTGAATCATTTTGTGATTCATCTTTTGCACATTTCATAATATTTATTTGCATCTATTTTGCACCGATTGCAATGTTTTGATAATAAATTATTTATTACACCGAATACAGATTTAGCTTTTTATTTTGTTTATGATGAAGTAGTCTCTTTGAGGGTTTTTGAGGAAGAGAGAGAGAGAGAGAGAGAGAGAGAGAGGGAGGGGGTAGAGAGAGAGAGAGAGAAAGAGACAGAGAGTCAGACAGACAAATCTTTCAAAATGTTTTCTTTGAACGTGAAGTTGAAGAGAGATAGATTGAATGGAGAGAGAAAAAAGTAGGGGAGAGGGAGAGAGAGCAAAATAGATAAAACCTTGATCATACTATATAATGCTTCCGTAGTATCCGTACACAATTATTAATGAAAGTTGACTCTCTCCCTCCCTCACCAGTCCATAATACACCTTCATTCAAATCCATAGCACGGAGTCGTTTTCTGACCCAAAGTAAGTTTTCAACATAACCATGTAGACAAAATGGACTAGACATGGTATATTCGTGTTATGGTGCATCACTTTCGATTGATGTTAAAGATCCGCCCTTGTTTTGTCGTTAGTTCTAACTATGTAGGCTTAATTTAATTGTCAATCATATCAATATAGACAAAATATAAACTACTGCTGTTTGTAGAAACTACCAGATTTAAACAGATCGAGCTGCATGATGACCCTTCCTATACAGGATTATGATATCCATAAATTCAACATTAATTTAGTCTATATACTAATCGAACAACCAGTCGAAGTCGGTTGGATTCACTTCTCTTCTGATGCAGTAATGCTCTCATTTATTCAAAATAAATCACGCAGTCATAACATTTATATACGGTGAACCGTTGTTTTAATGCCATAATGGTCAGTAGCAAGGCAACCCAAGAATAAACACGGTCGCTGTAAAATAACGAAAGATTCAACGAATGAGAACATGCATAAAAAGTTTCCGGTATAGGGGGTAATTCCACTCGATCGTTTGTGAATTTATCATCGCACGCCCTATTTTCAAGTATTGCCAATTATTATCCGATTTACATATAAAAACAACGCCATCTAGCGATGTATGGAGAAGAAAAAAGAAGAGTAGGGGAATGAGAGAGAGAGAGAGAGAGAGAGAGGGGGGGGGGGGGGGGGTCGATCTCGAATATAAAACCTTGGCAGAATGAAAGTTGACTCGTTTTCTGATCCAAAGTAAGTTTTCAACATAATGATGACTATAAACAAATGGACTAAACATAAATATTCGGGTTGTGGTGCAACTTTCGAATGATTCTGAGCATGGTGAACATCAAGGCTTTGGACAATCGTGTAAATCAGTTAATCGTGGATATTGTATAGATCAGAACATAGCTAATATTCCTAACTTCGAATAAATAATTATTAAATGCGCCAACGATATAATACTCTGCACATGAGGCGTAAAGGAGACTGAGAAGAATGATTTAAATAAATAAATGAACGTTAGAAGGAGAATTTGAATGTTTAAAAAATATCCCAACTTGAACCTACCTTACGACTTCAGAATTGTCTTTACAATATCCTCATTGTCCTCTACTAGCACTGTTACCAACGTTTAGACTGTACACAATCATGCATGATGTGGGCATTCTGAAAAATAGTAATTTTTTGTCTTATATCGTAGTCGTCTTCTATAATATAACGTTCCAAGACTTCCATGAATGTTTGACATTTACTATACCGCCTTTTGATTTAATAGAATAATTCATTTCCGAACTCTTTCTAGAAAATGTTATCAAATATAAATAGCTTGTAGGGATAGCTGTACACTTGATTCAGGATATAGGAACGATGAAACTATGTAGTCTTAGAACAGAGTATAATGACAAACTAAATAATATAATCGAATATATTTTCTGTCTGTCGATAATGAGGAATCCGTAGAATATCAGTCTTGCCCTATCAGTGTAAAGCAACTGCCAGTTGGGGATTTTATGAAAATGTGATTATGTTTATTAATTTAAAAAAAAATCAGAATACATGTCAATTAAAGGTTAAAAGATACTCGATTAATTTAGATGCACTTCTCTTCTGATGCAGTAGCCTAATGCTCTCATTTATTCAAAATAAATCACGTAGTCAAAACGTTTACGGTAAACCGTTGTTTGTAATGATCAGTATCCAAGCAATCCAAGAATAAACGATATTGCTATAAAATAACGAAAGATTCAACAAATAAGAAAGAAAAAAATTGTCGGTAGAGGGGGTAACTCTAGTACAACGTTTGTGAATTATCATCGCACGCTCATCCGTCTAATTAAAGGGCGAAGCTACCCCTCCTGTGGCCGTTTCGTACGTTAACAGGTAGGTACGCCCTGCGCTGTTAGGAGAACAGTGCCACATGAAACACATATTGTGTTTTAAAACATCAAAACAATTATGTAAAAGGAACTATATAGAGCCAAAGAAAAAAATTCTGACAAAGGATGGGAACAAAATGATAAGCTTAACCAAGGATTTTCACAAAACAAAATGAGTAAAATCCCCGGCCCCCCACTCAGTGTTATTTAGGGTACGCATAATGCTTGTTCCCTCTTTTTGAAAGCACCCCCTATCTGAGGACTGCCATCATTTCCGAACCCCCCTTTCGCGGGCTTTTCGCGGGCTTTTCGCGGGCTTTTCGCGGGCTTTTCGCGGGCTTTTCCTGCCTTGGAGAAAATTCGGAAAAATGCTCAATGTACCCCCTTAAATTCGGAAAAATGCTCAATTTACCCCCCTAAATTCGGAATAATTTCTCAGGAGTCCAAAGAGATGAGAGAAAAAAAAAAAAAACCTCCCTTTTAAAGAAATCTCCGGGTGAAAGTCAAATACACCGCTTTTCTTACAATTGGGCCGGACTTTGTCGCACGAAAAGTACCCTTTTACCGGACATTTTGGTAACACGCATGCGGTCATTCCGACCCCGGAGTGGGGGGGGGGGGGGGGGGGGGGAGGCGGGGTAAAATCACATTGCGTGATTGATGATATTGGGAAGGGGAATGCTTTTATGTGATTCCTGGAAGAGAGAAAAAACACCAGAAAATCATGCCATACGACTTTTAGTACCAATTGCAGTTTATTAACATGAAAAACAAATTGATTCTTTCTTCTTACTGGGAAACAAATTTCAGTTTCAGTATCAGGTTATTAGTGTTTCCATACGTAACATGGTACAAAATTACAATATAAAACAAAACGTTGTAGATTATTATTATTATTATTATTATTATTATTATTGTTATATTATTATTATTATTATTATTATTATTATTATTATTATTATTATTATTATTATTATTATTATTATTATTATTATTATTATTATTATTATTATTATTATTATTATTATTATTATTATTATTATTATTATTATTATTATTATTATTATTATTATTATTATTATTATTATTATCACATGAAAGGAAACTAGATACATTTTACAAAATTAGTAATTGTCGAGTTATTTAACATCTTTTACAAGAAGGCAAATATATTTATTTGATAGCAAAATATTACGAAATCAAATAAAAAGCAAAGCTTGTAAAGAATAGGTTTCGTACAAAATATGATGAAGAAGATCGCCGATAATTTGACATGGCCCGATGAGAAAGCCATGAAAAAAGGGTTAATGTAATATAATATCGTTGTGCAAATGCAACGATGTGGAAACAGTTGGGGTCACTAAAATAAGAAATCAGATGAACGAAGTGCGATAAAATGCTGAAGCCATAGCTCTCAGGCTTGTTATATCTGGATATTATCTGGGTTATTTCATATTTGTATATTTACCTTTACGTTGTTTGAATAGATGTTTAGGCAAAAAATAAAGTATAATCTCATCGTATGCTATCCTTATTTCCAGTATCGTCAATATCCAACTTACATTTAAAAACAACGCCATCTAGCGATGAGGTTCACAACACCACCACAACACCACCGCCACCACCACAACCACCCCACCACCACCACCACTCCCACCCCCACCGACAACCACCACCAACAAAAACAACAACACAAGCAGAATATTTTTCTTGTTGAATCTAACAAAGTACAGAGGGTCAATATAGCTGGCCTTATTGCCTCATGCAGGAGGGACACTGACTACTACGGGGGTGGGGTTCGCCCCTAAACACTAAGAGGGGGCGGGATAGCTGGATGAGTAAGCTATAATCGTAAACAAACTTTATTATTGGAATAAAATTATTTGTCTGAGGATGGATTATTGAAATTATATCATGATTGGGCCTATTGCATACACTGGGACCTTTCCATGCACGGGAAAAGAAAAAAAAATAATAGAGCTGTTTCTATGATAATGTATAAGCAGTTAGTTATTTCATAAATTATATCATATTCCTCTTTCTCTCTCTCTCTCTCTCTTTCCCCTCTCTCTTTTCAATCTCACTCCTCTTCCCCTCTCTTACAGATGGTGGCATCAAGTGTTCCCTGAGTTGAATTTTGCATTCCCAGTCCATTTTTTTTTTGGGGGGGGGGGGTATGTTTGTTTTTCTTCTTCAAATTTTTATTTCAAAATTTTCTCTCACGATCGGGAAGGCAAAAAAAAGGATAGCTCTACAACGACAGACGTTGTGGATAAAATCAAAGACCCCTTTCCCCCTATATGTATTTGGATGAACATCTTAGCTAAGTTCTATGCCATTGATCCATCACACTAACAGTTCCCTCAAAGTGCTCTTCACCAAATAATTTAAGGCTCTACTTGATATTTTTTGTGTTTGGTAGAGCCTGATCTTGATGCTAGAGATAGAACTGAACTGAACAGAAAAGAAGGAAACTTGAAACTGTCCAGAATCATGCCGCTAGATTTATCTTTGGGCCTTGGGTCTAGAACTCTTACTATACCTTTACTTAGGAACTCCACTGGTCACGACTTCCGCACCAACGTGTTTTGTTTAAATTCTGTTTGTTTGGCACCTGAATATCTCTAAATATATAAACCATTTAGTAATCTTCGCTCAGCAACCGACACGTAAACTTATCATTCCCATTTCCCAACTCTAGAATGGCGGCAGCAGCTGAAAGACGTTTTGCAGTAGCCGCATCAAAGACTTGGACAACATCCCCCTGTCTTGCCATGCACCTTCAAAAGATCCCTCAAAACTTACCTCCCCCCAGTGATCTATATTTGTGATCTATTTCCTGTGAGACTGTATACTTGTTTTGTCAACTTTTCACACTTTGTATAATTTGTAAGTGCTATGGTACTTATTGTTTTAGGCGCTCCTAAATATTCTTATTATTATGATCAAAATGCTGTATTGAGAATAATTTACATCGACCATGACCAAAGCTGACAAGTACAAACAAATTCCCTTGATTTTATCTGAATTTCGAAGTTTTTTTTTAAACAGCAGTGTTGATTAATTCTAAAACCACAACCCGGATTTTACCTTTTACGCTTCAAAGGTTGTAGGGCAGTGCAAAAAATGAAAGCTAAAAAAAGAAGTAACAACAAACAATCAACAAAACAAACAAACAAGCACGAAAACCCAAACACCATTATTATGCACGTCCATCTTTCCTCATAATATCCTTTACCTTTAACCGAGATGTATCTAATGTGTCTGAAAATGTAATAAATGCACTGCGATTTTTTTTTAATATATTTTTTTTAATGAATCGCATATAATATATTCCTACTTTCCAAGTCCTCTGCGAAACTGTAGTTGAGTCTTTGTTTTCGAGGGGAAAAGGTATTAGTTAGCACTGATTGTCTTAGCACGTAAAGTTTGCTAGTCTTTTTTTTTTACTCGTGCATGCGTGCTGGAAAGTTTGGGATCTAAGATCTAGCATCTCCATATCACATGCTTATGAAGCAAACAGCTGTCTGAATTTGTGCCTTAACTTCCGCAATAGTTTTGCCTCAAAGTTTGGCTTCTTGTAACGCGAATAATCTATTCTTGTGGACTACTTGTACGTGGATTATGCTCCCATGAATCTCAATTCGAATTTAATTATAATGAAGGGTGCAGCATGCAGTAATTTCAGATAAACTGTGAACGTTATTCCACTTATTGACATTTCGTTACTGCGTAGCCCGTATCGCAATCACGAACAAGCCATTGTGGAAGAAACGCCCGGGAGTAAAAGGGGAACTACCGTGCTGTTACACCGTTCATTGGAGAGCTGAGCTGTGCCATTATTGATTCGGAACTTCTTCTTCTTCTTCTTCCAGTATAGTACAGTCCGCCGTTGGCGTATTATCGTACCTTGTGTTTGTCAAGTGCCGAGTGTACAGTGCAAGTAAAAAGGTTCTACAAGAATTCTATGTGCAGCTAAAAAACAGTCTGAAGCTCAACTTCTTCTTCTTCTTCTTCTTCTTTGGGTTAAGTCTACCTCCTTCACAGTTGAAGAACAACAGTGGATCGTGGAGTAACTTACATTGGAGTGTGCAGTGTGTGTAAACTGGAACTGAACATTTGAAGATTTTAGACAACCGTTTGCATCATTCTTGCAATTGGTTGCAGTTAAAACTTGCAGACTAATATTTTATTTCAGATTCAATGTTACCATTCGAGTGATTAAAATGTCGACTTTAAATGCAATTGATCACAGACTGGCTTACTGGCAGAACTACAAATATTACGAGGGACATTTATTCGTCAAAGTACAAAGAGTGGTATGTATTTGTACAAACACAAAGGGGTATTTTCATTGGAAAATGGTTTGTTGTCTACCGTATAACATTTTCTTTACCAGTTGATAATGGAATATGAAAATGTTGAATGAATGATTGCTAAATGTTAAATGAATAGTTGTGAAAGAATAAATGAAAGAGAGAGAGAGAGAGAGAGAGAGAGAGAAAAGCTGCATTGTTGCATGGTCCATAAAATGATAAATAGAGATTTAGAAATGTGAAAACTAGAAACAGGGGAATCGCTAGAAGAGTATATGTGCATTGGGTAAAATAATGGGATGTGGAATAAGAGATTCATTTCAATCTCATCGAACTTGGAAGCTTCCTCGGTTGTGGACCAAAATCTTCAGTCTCTGATATCGGGGTTCTGCTGAGACTATGTCTGGATACACTGACCGCCTCTATACAGAGATTGAAGTGCATCCTACGGGTTAGTGAGGGAAGGTAATGCAATATATTTTTTGTGTGATTGCAAATCTCATCGCGCACAATAGGAAAACAGACAGGTTACCTAATAGTAAGTCCTTAAACAGTATATATCTGGTGCCGTATATCTTGATTTAAAAAAATGTTTGTTGTCGAAGTTGTTGTTGTTTAATTTAGGCAAGTGACGCAAGTCAGTCAGTTTATGACCATTATTGCTGAATACTATAAGTTATAACAAATGATTATTGTTGCAATCTCTTTTTTTCTTCTCCAGATTTTGTGATATTCATCATTTTTGAAGCAATTGTACTGTTAATTTTTTGTAATAATTCTCAAAGGATGGAAATATTTTTTTGATAAGATCAGTATCGGTGTAGAGTTGAAATCTCATTGACATACACATTTTAATTTAAATTGCTGTATTGTCTGACAATGTACTGCAAATGAAGAAGAAAAAAAAATAGCTATTAAGTAATACATTTACATATAAATCTTACATCTCCAATTCTCCATGTACACTGTATAAAAAGACACTAAAGTGTAGTGTAGGATTTGATAATGTAGGCCTATGTTAATGTACAAGCACATGTAAGTACCATTTACACATGGAAAACCACCTAAAATTGCAGTACAATTTTTTGTATGGTTCACATTCCTGTATTTTTCAATACAAAAACAAGTGAAGTAGACTTAGGAGTCATTGTTACACACAACTACCTTCTTGTCTATACTTGCGATTCATTTGATTGCTTAATTTAACAGCACCACAATTTTTTGTATTGCATCAACTACCCATTAAGAATGAAAAAAAATTAATTACTAATCAATACTTGAAAGACTTTCACAATTCAGGTGACCTACAGTATCCCATTTCTCATTTTGTTAGCACATGACTTTCAGTTATCAGGGTAACTTCATTCTCTCCATTAAATCAATAGTAAAATTTGTTTTTGTTTTGTATGAAAATATGAGAACAAATCACATGATTTTGGTTGATGCTGTTTATAAAATTAGATTATTGATTATAGACTGATATTAAAAACAAAAACACTTTCATTTCTATCTGCATTCTGGAAGTGAAGTGATACAGTGCAACTGTGTAGCAGCTGTACACAAAAAAAAACTTGGTTTAGACAGGTTATACATGTATGTATGTACACTGTACACATAGTTTCTATGTTCAAATCTAAATACATGTATGTATTGTGAAAGAAAGGGGTAGCCCCCCTAAAAATCAAATAAAATACATGTATGAGGGCTCGATACTAACAGGGGAACACCATTCCAGTACATACAGACCTCTGAATTTTAACTTTGGAGCCCTCTTCCCCTCCCCCATTTTCAAAGTATAAAAAAACCTGGTACAAATGATGGACCCCAATCTTCAATCTTTCACCAACAAAAGGGAAACATTTGTTTATCATACTACCAAATTTGGAGGGGTTTTAGTTCCTGTTCCTCTTGCTAATAAAATACCCAATTTATTTTTAATCACCCCCATCCATGTGAATAGTAGTACCCTATTTGTTATTTTAATTGTAAAAACTCATGCTATAACACTACAAAACAAAACAAAACAAGCCAGGCCTACAATTGTACTCTCTTCAAATGTCAGTGCCTATTGTACTTTAGTTCTATAGTTTGGTCTGGGGACAGAATTTCCTTTATTATTTCCTTTTTATTTCCCTCTTTGAAGTAATTTGGATGAACTGCCCTTTTGAACCCTCTCTCATTTCCTATTGCATTCACATAAGGTAATAGTGAATGAAAGTTTTAACCTTTCCATGTTTGCTTTCATTTTGTCAAAATGTACATGTTTATCAAAATTGTTAAACATTTAGGCCTTCGATTTGGAACATTTCAAATCTGTCATTTTTCTGAATGATTACATTAAACTTGATTTTGTATTGGCCTATGTCAGTACGGGTTCAACCACCACCATTCAATACACCAGTTTACGGTTGTGTGCGCCATTTTAAACAAAGCCAATGACCTAAAGTTCATGTATTTATGCGTAAATTAAGATTGCGCCCATGCAAATTATGATGACATCACTGCCTACGCGCTACATTGTGCGCGCACATCATCATTTGCATGGGCGCAATCTTAATTTACGCATAAATACCACTGACCTCGGGTCATTGGCTTTGTTTCAAAGCCAATGACCAGAGGTCAACTGTCTGCGCATGCGCACTGGTACAACCGTAAACTGGTGTATAGACATCGTTAGGATTGTACATGTATATTATCACGGTAGACCCCATAGAAGGATACTACAGCGCGTTGAAAACGGACAAGCGGTTTCGGGCGGTTTAGTGAGTAAAAGGAGAGGCAGTTTCGGGCGGTTTAGTTGCTAAAGGGTTAAAGGGATCCGGATTTTTGCAGTGTCTATGTATGAGCCCTAGGTAAAGACTTCAAAATATTGGGGGTCCAAGACTTAGATTTGGGGCGCCCATGTTTTCTGGGCAATACTGTAGTATCAAGTCCTGCATATACTGTACATGTTTGCTAAAGTATCAGTTATATTCCAGTAGTATCAACTTTACTTTGAGATGAGATCAAGATTTGTAAGCTGCATTGTTACATGGCAAAAACCCTTGTATGCCATTTTGTTCTTTCTTCTAGCAAACTGTAACCACAATCCTTTGAGTACCCCCTCGTCAAGGTGAAGCCCTTGTGACCCCCTGTAGGCCACGGATTATAGAGGTCATAGTAGGCTAATATGAATGATGTCTGACTGAAAGGAATTATTATTGTATTATAAGTAGTTTTGCATTATATTTGATGCATTATTCCTAATGCACATGAGTACATGTATATTGATATGGGAGACTTGAATTGTACTGCATTTCCGGGTTAATTTTGACGTTGATCAGCAAATAGTGCAGTCATGATCATTGTCTACACTGTGTGAGTACACATGACCCCTATGGAATTCAGCTCTTGCTGTTATGGTGTTCTACCCCAAAAGAGGAATGTACATGTATGTACTCAAATGTACATGTATTTGTATGAATGAATGTATGAATGAATGAAAAACATGTATAGTGAGTAGTAACTGTTTCTGCTAGAAGGTACTGTACACATGTTGTGAGAGCATATTTTGAAATAATCAGCAAACTGATATTTGCAATTTAGTCAGATAACAATCTTGTATTATAGGTCACATACCTTTTTTCACAGAGCTTTTCACAAAAGTTTAATTAAAAGTGTCATTTTAAGGATATCAGCATTGAAGTATATCAGCATTAAAATACATGTGTATTGGTTTTGTAATGAAATGTTAAAATCTTTTCGATTAAAAAGTGATAAGTTGACCTCGGGTCCTTCTTCAAATCCTACTTCTCTAAAGACCAATTTAAAAAAAATAAATAAAAAAGATGGAATAATTGATTGGCCTACCGTACTGTGAATATGACAACCTAGAGCTGTGATTTAGTTCAATTTTCTTTTCAACCTTGTGCAATCAACAACTCAGAAATTCTTTTGTATGAGTAACTTCTAAACATCATATTACCTGGGACATACAAATGTAGTCCTTGACCCATAGGGTTGAAGTTATGAGGCCATTTAACAAAAAAAAAAATCACAGTTTTTTAGTCATGTGAATATAAACCTTCAAACTTATTTTCAAGTTATGAAGCTTTTTAGCACCACTCCAATTTGCCTTGTGCTAATAATTCAATAGTTTTTCATTTTCATGATTGTTGATAAAGAAGTAGCTCTTTTCTTGATAGGGGTGTGTAAAAACATTTCTAGGGCACAAAATGAAATTGTTTCTTAATTTTTTTCTTTAATTAAAATTGAATTTATTGAATTTTCAATGCAGAACAAATTGGATAAAAGTTGCATCAAAGACTTGTCAGTTTGTGCTTGATTTAAATGAAGTTAAGAAAGTTATGATTTTTAAAATTCATAACTTTCTTTTTCTTCCTCACATTTTTCCCATAAACTTTGGCTGATCTTCTTCTGTTATTTGTATGCTTTTCTAAGCCAACTGAATGACAGAGTGGACTTTTGTTTATGAAACGGGCAAATGTAAGTGTGGGATTGCTTGGAGATCAATGTACATGTATAGTACATGTAGATCTCATTATGAGAAAAGACCCTAGTGTTGGTAAGTTATTAATATTCTTGTCTTTGTATCGGTAGGTTTTTATAGATTTTTTTGTTGTTTTTTTTTTTGAGGACTTGTAAGGGAGCTTCTAAATGTTTTGACAGGGACAAATACAGCAGATCTTATTTGATTTTCACTTACAATGGTCAGTGTTAATAATAATAATAACAACATTTATAATGCGCACATATCCACCCCAAGAGATGCTCAAGGCGCCTAACAAGGTAAGTACATTGAACGAAATAATTTAACATAATTAAATATAATTCAACAACGTTAATTACATCATATTATGAAATACACTACGTCTTAACTAAGGAATTCAGACATTAGATAGGTTTTCAATTGTTTTTTGAACACATTTTGATTGGCTGACATTTTGATTGAATGGGGTAGGGAGTTCCATAACCGGGGTGCAGCAGCTGTAAAGGCTCTGTCT